GACACTTCACGTGGCCTCAGGGTGCACATAGCCTGGCACAAGCGTCGTGGTGACGTCACCGCCACTTAGTGGCGAATGGCGGTTGTTGTTGTATGTGTGTGTGTATGTCTGTATGTGTGTGTATGTAGCGTCTGTGTATGTGTGTATGTGTGTGTGTGCCACGTGCGTGCGCGTGTCCGTCCGTGGATTAATAGACTTAGGCGCCCGGATGAACACCCATGTGTGTACGTGATCCTGCGACGCGGGCTGGTGTTTGGATTAAGTGAGGCCCTCCATTGCAAACAACACGTGCCGGCAAAGTGCATTTGGAAAATGTTTTCTTTGTGCTGCGCGCGCGTGCGTGCGGGCGCGCGCGCGCGTGTAACGGGGACCGGTGGCGGTGCAGTTTGGCGCTCTGCGCTACGAACCTGGCGACCCGGCTTCGTTTCCCGCTCATGGCCAACAACGGTGACGATTATCTGAACCGGTCATGGGCCTCCCCTGGGTCGACTCAGCCTCAAATGAGTACCTGGTGCGGTGTGTAAACATAGCCAGTGGGGAGACAAAGGCGGCCGGGCGTGGTGCTGGCCACCCACCCCCTGGTCTCCGGAGCTCTCACCTGGACAATCAAAATCAACGGGAACACTCCGCAGCGCAGGGGGAGAACGCGACAAACTCCACACACAGAAGAAGAAGAAGACAAAGATCCCCCGAGTAGCCTTTAACGGTCTGTTGGGGTCAAGTGGTGGTGGCCAGCACCACGCCGGCCACCTTTGTCTTTCCTCGGGGCGATGTTCACACACCGCACGAGGTACTCGTTTGAGGTTGAGTGGGATGCCGGTTTCAGATAATCGTCACCGGTGTTTGGCGTCCGTGAGCAGGGACTCGAACTCGGCTCGCCGGGTTCATAGCGCAGCGTGGCGCGAACCCGCTGCGCTCCCCCCACACACCACGCGCATGTCGTACTTTTAGAACGGTTGACAGTTTTGCGCGGTGAGAAGTGATAGCCAGCTGGAAATGAATCATGAATGCCCGACTCTTTTAAAGGGTCGTTTACGGGGGAAGGTCGTGCTGAAAGTTAACTACCTCGCCTGGTGTGCAGGAGGTCGTGGGTTCGATACCGACGCCTGCTGTATATTCGGAGTTTGGCGTGTCGCTCTCTCTCCCCGTGGTCGCGTGGATTTTTATTCGGGTTCTCTGGATGTTCGTTCGCGGCATTTAGAATCACCATCACGCTGCTGCTACTGCTGCTGCTGCTATACATTTCCACGCGATGATGACGTTGGTGGATGATAAGCCCGCTTTGTCGAGCTATTGTTATTATTATTGCTGCTAATACTACTGCTGATGATGTTATTGCTGCTAATACTGCTGCTACTATTATTATTGGTGATAATACTGCTGCTGCTATTACTACTGCTGTTAATACTGCTGCTGCTATTACTATTGCTGTTAATACTGCTACTGCTGTTATTATTACTGCTAATACTGCTGCTATTACTATTATTGCTGCTAATACTGCTGCTGTTACTATTGCTGTTAATACTGCTGCTGCTATTACTATTGCTGTTAATACTGCTGCTGCTATTATTACTGCTAATACTGCTGCTACTATTATTATTGCTTTTAATACTGTTGCTACTATTACTATTGCTGCTAATACTGCTGCTACTATTACTATTGCTGTTAATACTGCTGCTACTATTATTATTGCTGCTAATACTGCTGCTACTATTATTATTGCTGCTAATACTGCTGCTACTATTACTATTGCTGCTAATACTGCTGCTACTATTACTATTGCTGTTAATACTGCTGCTACTATTACTATTGCTGCTAATACTTATGCTACTATTATTATTGCTGCTAATACTGCTGCTACTATTACTATTGCTGCTAATACTGCTGCTACTATTATTATTGCTGCTAATACTGCTGCTACTATTATTATTGCTGCTAATACTGCTGCTACTATTATTATTGCTGATAATACTGCTGCTGCTGCTGCTGCTATTATTGCTGCTAATACTGCTGCTACTATTATTATTGCTGATAATACTAATGCTACTATTATTATTGCTGATAATACTGCTGCTGTTAATACTGCTGCTGCTATTACTATTGCTGCTAATACTGCTGCTACTATTACTATTGCTGATAATACTGCTGCTACTACTATTATTGCTGCTAATACTGTTGCTGCTATTACTATTGCTGTTAATACTGCTGCTACTATTATTATTGCTGCTAATACTGCTGCTACTATTACTATTGCTGCTAATACTACTGCTACTGCTGCTACTATTATTGCTGTTAATACTGCTACTGCTGCTACTATCATTGCTGCTAATACTACTGTTGCTATTATTAGTACTACTAATACTACTGCTGCTGCTGCTATTATTGCTGCTAATACTACTGCTGCTATTATTATTATTGCTACTAAGACTACTGCTGCTGTTATTGGCTGCCACTATGATTGCTGCTAATACTACTGCTGCTACTATTATTATTGCTACTAAGACTACTGCTGCTGCTATTATTATTCTTGCTACTAAGACTACTGCTGCTGCTACTATTATTATTGCTACTAAGACTATTGCTGCTACTATTAATGCTGCTAATACTACTGCTGCTGCTATTATTATTGCTGCTAATACTACTGCTGCTACTCTTATTTGCTGCTACTATTATTATTGCTACTAAGACTACTGCTGCTGCTACTATATTGCTACTAAGACTATTGCTGCTGCTGCTACTATTATTAATGCTAATACTACTGCTGCTGCTACTATTATTGACTGCTACTATTATTGCTGCTAATACTACTGCTGCTACTATTATTATTTCACTACTACTGTAGTGGGTTCAACTTAGTCGCAGATGTACACTTGGAGGGAACACTTTCATTTAACACCAACACACGGGTTAACTGCCCCTTAACAGAATAACAACCTACGGTGGTGACCACCAGGCTAACTACACTAATTACTACACTACACTAGTTACTACACTACACTAGTAACTACACTAGTTACAACGTAACGAGCTATTATGGACCGGGACCGCAATTCGGGTCCAGGTCCACGTGTTGAGAGACTCGGTAGAACGTAGGGCGAAGATGAAGGTTTCTTCAGGATGAACAACAACGCCGGTCCCTCTGGGGGACCCGGCTTATCTTCTCTGCAGCGTGACCGGCTCCGCCCTTGGCCACGGCCCCCTTCCAGAATCCTCGAGCAGGATCTGGACCCCGACCACGTGACCACTGCCAGCCCCCACTTGGGGCCCCTCTGTCGACTTAACCGGTCACGTGTCCTCTCGGGTGAACCAGAGTGCCATGGCCTATAGTAACCTCATTCCTCCGGCCGGCACTCCCACACCCTGTCCTGTAGGGGCTGGCACTGCACGCCAAGCGTGGTGCCATCCAGCGCTATCAATCAGCGCTCACCTGGCCCCTCTAGGCCCGGTACTACACCCACACCGTTGTGGTGTCCACGATGCCGTTACATCGCTCACCTGGCCCCTCGAGGGCCGGCACTGTACAGTGACATCCCGCGAAATCACTACACTACTAATACTACCGCTGCTGCTACTATTATTATTGCTGCTAATTCTACTACTGCTACTATTATTATTGCTGCTAATACTACTGCTGCTGCTACTATTATTGCTGCAAATACTACTACTTCTGCTACTATTATTGCTGATAATACTAATACTGCTGCTACTATTATTGCTGCTAATACTACTGCTGCTATTATTGCTGTTAATACTACTACTGCTGCTACTATTATTGCTGCTAATACTACTACTGCTGCTACTATTATTGCTGCTAATACTACTACTGTTGCTACTATTATTGCTGCAAATACTACTGCTGCTACTATTATTATTGCAGCTAATACTACTACTACTGCTACTATTATTGCTGTAAATACTACTGCTGCTACTATTATTATTGCTGCTAATACTACTGCTGCTGCTACTATTATTGCAGCTAATACTACTACTACTGCTACTATTATTGCTGCAAATACTACTACTGCTACTATTATTATTGCTGCTAATACTACTGCTGCTGCTACTATTGTTGCTGCTAATACTACTACTACTGCAGCTATTATTGCTGCTAATACTACTACTGCTGCTACTATTATTGCTACTAATTCTACTACTGCTGCTACTATTATTGCTGCTAATACTACTACTGCTGCTACTATTATTGCTGCTAATACTACTACTGTTGCTACTATTATTGCTGCAAATACTACTGCTGCTACTATTATTATTGCTGCTAATACTACTACTACTGCTACTATTATTGCTGTAAATACTACTGCTGCTACTATTATTATTGCTGCTAATACTACTGCTGCTGCTACTATTATTGCAGCTAATACTACTACTACTGCTACTATTATAGCTGCAAATACTACTACTGCTACTGTTATTATTGCTGCTAATACTACTGCTGCTGCTACTATTATTGCTGCTAATACTACTACTGCTGCTGCTATTATTGCTGCTAATACTACTACTGCTACTATTGTTGCTGCTAATACTACTACTACTGCAGCTATTATTGCTGCTAATACTACTACTGCTGCTACTATTATTGCTACTAATACTAATACTGCTACTACTATTATTGTTGCAAATACTACTACTATTATTGCTGCTAATACTACTACTGCTGCTACTATTATTGCTGCTAATACTACTACTGCAGCTATTATTGCTGCTAATACTACTGCTGCTGCTACTATTATTGCTGCTAGTACTTCTGCTGCTACTATTATTGCTACCATCACTACTGCTGCTGCTGTTATTTCCGCTACTACTACTACTGCTGCTGCTGATGTGTGTGTACGTTGACCTTCCTTCGCACTCGCACCGTGGACGTAGCCAACTGTGCCAATCGGAGGGGCGGGATATGTCCAGATGTTCAGTCGGGGCACGACGTGGGGTCGAGAGGTTGCTGACGGTAGACCCCTGCCCCCCCCCCCCCCCCGGGATCGCAGCCAGACGAGCTGACGAGCGCACTGGAGATCAGCAACATCGTCTTCACGAGCCTCTTCGCACTGGAGATGGTCCTCAAGCTCCTGGCGTTCGGTCCCTTGGGGTACATCAAGAACCCCTACAACATATTCGACGGCGTCATTGTCATCATCAGGTGAGGCATGGCGAGATTTACGATGGATAAATATAAAATCAAGACGAAACGTTTCCACGCGAGCTCGCCACATCTACAGGGCCGTCCCAGTTGTATCTCTATTGCGGTATCGGTAACGGTCAAAAGGAAGTAACCAGCTCGTTTTGGTTTTCACACCGAATGTATCGCTGCCGAAAAGGTAAAAAAAGGCCGATTCTTTATGGCAAGAAATGTCCCATAAAGTAGCTGGTCACCCCGAGCTGAAAATGTCCTGACAGTGGCATTGTCTTTGTGCTGTTCACCTTTTGGCGTCGTCCTCTGGTCTAACACTGTTTGAGACGAGGCTCTAAAGAAAGCCGTCTCTGGTGTGGGCCAATCAGTTTCAAAGACAATGCACCATCATATAATTACCAGAGCATATTTCATCGTTTGTATGTTCACCACAAGTATGTGTGGTCAATGCAGACATGATTCCTTGCAAAAAGGTTTCAGTTTGGTGTTTGAACATCTTAATGCAACTGTTTTATTGCCAGAAAGGGTGAAACCTATCCTTATATTTTGTTACTGGCAAGGGAGGTCCCATGGTGTAGCTGCTCACCGCGAGCTCTCAATGCACTGATAGTGGCGTTGTCTTTGTGCTGTGTTCGCCTTTTGTCATCCTCTGGTCTAACACCGTTTGAGACGAAGCTCGTAAGAAAGCCGTCTCTGGTGTGGACCAATCAGTTTCAAAGACAACGCCAAATACTATCAGAGCATGTTGTAATTGTTTGTATGTTCACCACACACGATTCCTTGCAAAAGGCTTCTGTTTGGTGTTTTAACATCATAACGCAACGGTTCTATTGCCAGAGGGGTAAAAGCAATTCTTATGAAGCCGATTCTGTTGAAGTTTTTGTTCCCGTCGTTACGATTCCGGCAGCAACAACAATTATACAAATAATCCCCTGGGATATTACAACTGCTTAACCCGAGCCGTTAATAATAACTTACATTTGTTTATAAGGCGCCTTCCACCAATGTCTCAAGGCGCCTTGTAAGTAAGAACAAGGATGAGGAAAGGGCCAAAGAGAGACAGAGAAGCTAAGTGGAATATACTGACTTAAGAAGATGCGGTTGTAAAGACGACACTTTCAAGTATCAACATTGTCGGATAAACCAATTCCCCAGCGGTCGGGGTGGGGGCGGATTCCGCAACCGTGGTGCAGGCGCAGCAAGGTGCCCGTATTGAAACGGCTGATACGCGGCATGGACCTGAGCACTCAATTTCCCCCGTACAAGAATACGGGGTAAAGCGTACGGGTTGACACGCTGTGACGCACGCGGGCAGACAACGACATCACCTGCCGTTCGCCGCCAAAGTTGCGGCGACTTGACCGCGTCGCCCGTCCCAGGCCCCAACAAGGTCTGAATTGGTCTGTAATAAGCTAGGGGCACTGATAAGGGCTCGACGGCTACGGTGTGTCCGAGCGCGTCTCTCTCTCTCTCTCCCCAGCGTGTGGGAGATCGTGGGCCAGTCAGACGGGGGGCTGTCGGTGCTGCGCACCTTCCGCCTGCTGCGGGTGCTCAAGCTGGTGCGTTTCATGCCCGCGCTCCGGCGCCAGCTCGTGGTGCTCATCAAGACGATGGACAACGTCGCCACCTTCTGCATGCTGCTCATGCTGTTCATCTTCATCTTCAGGTGAGTGCACCCGCGACCCCGCCGACCCCGCCGACCCCGCCGACCCCACCCGCCCACTCACACACGCCGTAACACGAACCATAACACAGGCGGTAACACAAACCATAACACAGGCGGTAACACAAACCATAACACAAACTATAACACAGGCGGTAACACAAACCATAACACAAGCCATAACACAAACCATAACACAGGCCGTAACACAAACCATAACACAAACCATAACACAAACCATAACACAAGCCATAACACAAGCCATAACACAAACCATAACACAAACCATAACACAAGCCATAACACAAACCATAACACAGGCCGTAACACAAACTATAACACAGGCCGTAACACAAACCATAACACAGGCCATAACACAAACCATAACACACGCCATAACACAAGCCATAACACAAACCATAACACAAACCATAACACAAGCCATAACACAAGCCATAACACAAACCATAACACAAACCATAACACAAGCCATAACACAGGCCGTAACACAAACTATAACACAGGCCGTAACACAAACCATAACACAGGCCATAACACAGGCCGTAACACACGCCATAACACAGGCCATAACACAAACCATAACACAAACCATAACACAAACCATAACACAGGCCGTAACACAAACCATAACACAAACCATAACACAAGCCATAACACAAGCCATAACACAAACCATAACACAAACCATAACACAAGCCATAACACAGGCCGTAACACAAACTATAACACAGGCCGTAACACAAACCATAACACAGGCCATAACACAGGCCGTAACACACGCCATAACACAGGCCATAACACAAACCATAACACAGGCGGTAACACAAACCATAACACAGGCCGTAACACAAACCATAACACAAGCCATAACACAAACTATAACACAAACTATAACACAAGCCATAACACAAACTATAACACAAACTATAACACAAACTATAACACAAACTATAACACAAGCCATAACACAAACTATAACACAAACTATAACACAAACTATAACACAAACTATAACACAAACTATAACACAAACCATAACACAGGCCATAACAAAAACCGTAACACACGCCGTAACACAAACTATAACACAGGCTGTAACACAAACCATAACACAGGCCGTAACACAAGCCATAACACACGCCATAACACAAACTATAACACAAACCATAACACAGGCCACACGGCAACCCGGTTCTCCTCACACGAACGCTTTGTATTTGCTGCCCCTCCGTCTGCCCCCCACCCCCATCTGCCCCCTCCGCCCCGTTGCCTTGCTCTGCTGGGCCCAAAGCATCCTGGGAATGCACCTGTTTGGGTGTAAGTTCAGCCGTCACCTCGACAACGGAGACACCGTCCCAGACCGCAAGAACTTTGACTCCCTCCTGTGGGCCATCGTCACCGTCTTCCAGGCGAGGCCTCACCTGCCTCTGTCTGTCTCTCTGTCTATGTGTGTGTCTGTCTGTGTGTGTGTCTGTGTGTCTGTATGTGTGTGTCTGTGTGTGTGTCTGTGTGTGTGTCTGTGTGTGTCTGTGTATCTGTCTGTGTGTGTGTCTGTGTCTGTGTGTGTGTCTGTGTGTCTGTCTATGTGTGTGTGTATGTGTCTGTCTGTGTGTGTGTCTGTGTGTGTGTGTGTCTGTGTGTCTGTGTGTGTGTCTGTCTGTGCGTTTATCTGTGTGTATGTCTGTGTGTCTGTGTGTCTGCCGATCAGTGTGTCTGTGTCTGTGTGTCTGTCTATGTGTGTGTCTGTCTGTGTGTCTGTATGTGTGTGTCTGTGTGTCTGTGTGTGTGTGTCTGTGTGTCTGCCTATCTGTGTGTCTGTCTGTGTGTCTGTCTATGTGTGTGTCTGTCTCTCTGTCTTTGTGTGTGTGTCTGTGTGTCTGTCTATGTGTGTGTCTGCCTATCTGTGTGTCTGTCTGTGTGTCTGCCTATCTGTGTGTGTCTGTCTGTGTGTCTGTGTGTCTATGTGTGTGTCTGTCTGTGTGTGTGTGTCGGTGTGTCTGTGTGTCTGCCTATCTGTGTGTCTGTCTGTGCGTTTATCTGTGTGTATGTCTGTGTGTCTGTCTGTGTGTCTGCGTGTGTTTGCCTGTCTGTCTGTGTGTCTGTGTGTCTGCCTATCTGTGTGTCTGCCTATCTGTGTGTCTGCCTATCTGTGTGTCTGTGTGTGTGTGTGTCTGTGTGTTTGCCTGTGTGGCTGTATGTCTGTCTGTGTATCTGACTGTCTGTAAGTCCTCGCTTAACACGCAGCGGTGTTCACGCGACAATGCCGTTCTTCCACGAGGGAAGGCTTTTTGCACAACAGGGAATGGACACCCCATTATAACGCGGGAAAATGCTCCTGTTATAACGCGGAAATGTGCCCCTGTTATAACGTGGAAATGTGCCCCTGTTATAACGTGCAATGTGCGCACCGCTCTAACACGCGACATGACCATTCTAACGCGGTTTCTGAGCGGTCAACGACGAACTACTTTCTTGAGCTGCGCGGTCGAACGGTATACAGTGATCTGTCCTGCCACCTCACTGCGTAGTAGTCGTGGTAGTCGTGGTATTTGTGGTAGTCGTGGTATTTGTGGTTGTCGTGGTATTCATAGTAGTCGTAGTATTCGTGGTAGTCATGGTAGGCATAGTATTCGTGGTACTCGTGGTATTTGTGGTAGTCGTGGTATTTGTGGTTGTCGTGGTATTTGTGGTTGTCGTGGTATTCGTAGTAGTCGTAGTATTCGTGGTAGTCATGGTAGGCATAGTATTCGTGGTACTCGTGGTATTTGTGGTAGTCGTGGTATTTGTGGTTGTCGTGGTATTCGTGGTAGTCGTGGTAGTCATCGTAGGCGTAGTATTCGTAGTAGTCTTGATAGCCGCACTATTTGTGGTAGTCGTGGTAGTCGTGGTAGTCGTAGTATTCGTAGTAGTCGTAGTATTCGTGGTAGTCATGGTAGTCATAGTATTCGTGGTAGTCGTGGTATTTGTAGTAGTCGTGATAGCCGCAGTATTCGTAGTAGTCGTAGTATTTGTAATAGTCGTGGTATTCGTGGTAGGCGTCGTATTCGTGGTATTTGTGGTAGTCGTAATATACGTTATCGTTACTGCCCGTGGGGAAATTGCCTCTGCTTGGCGCGGCGCTCTTCAGGACTGCGTCTGCCCCTCCCAGGGCGCTCAACGGGAACTCGGCGTGCGTAGCCTCGGGTGAGCTCGCGACGGCCGTGTTCGAGGCACTGAGCCGGGGACACTGACATCGAGGGTTCGAAGGCCCGGCTCCGGTCGTCTCTCTCCCTCAACAAACCTGGGTTCGGAATCCAGGTTTCTCGGCCCGCCGGTCATTCAACCCGAGGCCCGCAGGCGCGGCGAGCTGGCGGCCTAGGCCCCAAACGGGCTGGTAAGCGAGCCGAGTTCTCAAACGCGATGTCGTCGTCGTCGTCGTCGCAGATCCTGACGCAGGAGGACTGGAACGTGGTGCTCTACAACGGCATGGCCTCCACGTCGCCCTGGGCCGCGCTCTACTTCATCGCCCTCATGACCTTCGGGAACTACGTCCTCTTCAACCTCCTTGTCGCCATCCTCGTGGAGGGCTTCCAGGCCGAGGTGAGCGCCGTGCGTGCGTGCGTTCGTCTGTCCGTGCGTCCATCTGTCCGTGCGTCCATCCGTCCGTCCGTCTGTCTGTCCGTCTGTCTGTCAATGTGTCCGTCTGTCCAGGCGTCCGTTCGTTTGTCCATGTGTGCTGCACATGTGTACGCATGTATGTACGAGCACCTGGTGAGTGTGAGGGTATCCGGTGAGTGTGAGAGTGTCCGGTGAGTGTGAGGGTGTCCGGTGAGTGTGAGAGTGACCGGTGAGTGTGAGAGTGACCGGTGAGTGTGAGAGTGTCCGGTGAGTGTGAGAGTGTCCGGTGAGTGTGAGAGTGTCCGGTGAGTGTGAGAGTGTCCGGTGAGTGTGAGAGTGACCGGTGAGTGTGAGAGTGTCCGGTGAGTGTGAGAGTATCCGGTGAGTGTGATAGTGTCCGGTGAGTGTGAGAGTGACCGGTGAGTGTGAGAGTGTCCGGTGAGTGTGAGAGTGTCCGGTGAGTGTGAGAGTGTCCGGTGAGTGTGAGAGTGTCCAGTGAGTGTGAGAGTGTCCGGTGAGTGTGAGAGTGACCGGTGAGTGTGAGAGTGTCCGGTGAGTGTGAGAGTGTCCGGTGAGTGTGAGAGTGTCCGGTGAGTGTGAGAGTATCCGGTGAGTGTGATAGTGTCCGGTGAGTGTGAGAGTGACCGGTGAGTGTGAGAGTGTCCGGTGAGTGTGAGAGTGTCCGGTGAGTGTGAGAGTGTCCAGTGAGTGTGAGAGTGTCCGGTGAGTGTGAGAGTGTCCGGTGAGTGTGAGAGTGTCCGGTGTGTGTGAGAGTATCCTGTGGGTGTGAGAGTGTCCGGTGAGTGTGAGAGTGTCCGGTGAGTGTGAGAGTGTCCGGTGGGTGTGAGAGTGTCCGGTGAGTGTGAGAATATCCGGTGGGTGTGAGGGTGTCCGGTGAGTGTGAGAGTATCGGGTGAGTGTGATAGTGTCCGGTGAGTGTGAGAGTGACTGGTGAGTGCGAGAGTGTTCGGTGAGTGTGAGAGTGTCCGGTGAGTGTGAGAGTGTCCGGTGAGTGTGAGAGTATCCTGTGGGTGTGAGAGTGTCCGGTGAGTGTCAGAGTGTCCGGTGAGTGTGAGAGTGTCCGGTGGGTGTGAGAGTGTCCGGTGAGTGTGAGAGTATCCGGTGGGTGTGAGAGTGTCCGGTGAGTGTGAGAGTATCCGGTGAGTGTGAGAGTGTCCGGTGAGTGTGAGAGTGTCCGGTGTGTGTGAGAGTGTCCGGTGTGTGTGAGAGTGTCCGGTGAGTGTGAGAGTGTCCGGTGAGTGTGAGAGTATCCGGTGAGTGTGAGAGTGTCCGGTGAGTGTGAGGGTGTCCGGTGAGTGTGAGATTGTCCGGTGAGTGTGAGAGTGTCCGGTGAGTGTGAGAGTATCCGGTGAGTGTGAGAGTGTCCGGTGAGTGTGAGAGTGTCCGGTGAGTGTGAGAGTATCCTGTGGGTGTGAGAGTGTCCGGTGAGTGTGAGAGTGTCCGGTGAGTGTGAGAGTGTCCGGTGGGTGTGAGAGTGTCCGGTGAGTGTGAGAGTATCCGGTGGGTGTAAGAGTGTCCAGTGAGTGTGAGAGTATCCGGTGAGTGTGAGAGTGTCCGGTGAGTGTGAGAGTGTCCGGTGTGTGTGAGAGTGTCCGGTGTGTGTGAGAGTGTCCGGTGAGTGTGAGAGTGTCCGGTGAGTGTGAGAGTATCCGGTGAGTGTGAGAGTGTTCGGTGAGTGTGAGAGTGTCCAGTGGGTGTGAGAGTGTCCGGTGGGTGTGAGAGTGTCCGGTGTGGGTGAGAGTGTCCAGTGTGTGTGAGAGTGTCCGGTGAGTGTGAGAGTGTCCGGTGAGTGTGAGAGTGTCCGGTGTGTGTGAGAGTGTCCGGTGAGTGTGAGAGTGTCTGGTTGGTGTGAGAGTGTCCGGTGAGTGTGAGAGTGTCCGGTGAGTGTGAGAGTGTCCGGTGAGTGTGAGAGTATCCGGTGTGTGTGAGAGTGTCCAGTGAGTGTTAGAGTGTCCAGTGGGTGTGAGAGTGTCCGGTGAGTGTGAGAGTGTCCGGTGAGTGTGAGAGTGTCCGGTGAGTGTGAGAGTGTCTGGGGAGTGTGAGAGTGTTCGGTGGGTGTGAGAGTGTCCGGTGAGTGTGAGAGTGTCCGGTGTGTGTGAGAGTGTCCGGTGAGTTTGAGAGTGTCCGGTGAGTGTGAGAGTATCTGGTGAGTGTGAGAGTGTCCGGTGTGTGTGAGAGTGTCCGGTGAGAGTGTCCGGTGGGTGTGAAAGTGTCCGGTGAGTGTGAGAGTGTCCGGTGAGTGTGAGAGTGTCTGGTGAGTGTGAGAGTATCCGGTGAGTGTGAGAGTGTCCGGTGTGTGTGAGAGTGTCCGGTGAGTGTGAGAGTGTGCGGTGAGTGTGAGAGTGTCCGGTGAGTGTGAGAGTGTCCGGTGAGTGTGAGAGTGTCCGGTGAGTGTGAGAGTGTCCGGTGAGTGTGAGAGTGTCCAGTGAGTGTGAGAGTGTCCGGTGAGAGTGAGAGTGTCCGGTGAGTGTGAGAGTGCCCGGTGAGTGTGAGAGTGTCCGGTGAGTGTGAGAGTGTGCGGTGAGTGTGAGAGTGTCCGGTGAGTGTGAGAGTGTCCGGTGTGTGTGAGAGTGTCTGGTGAGTGTGAGAGTGTCCGGTGTGTGTGAGAGTGTCCAGTGAGTGTGAGAGTGTCCGGTGAGTGTGAGAGTGTCCGGTGAGTGTGAGAGTGTCCGGTGAGTGTGAGAGTATCCGGTGAGTGTGAGAGTGTCCGATGTGTGTGAGAGTGTCCTGTGAGAGTGTCCGGTGAGTGTGAGAGTGTCCGGTGAGTGTGAGAGTGGCCGGTGAGTGTGCGAGTGTCCGGTGAGTGTGAGAGTGTCCGGTGTGTGTGAGAGTGTCCTGTGAGAGTGTCCGGTGGGTGTGAGAGTGTCCGGTGAGTGTGAGAGTGTCCGGTGTGTGTGAGAGTGTCCGGCGAGAGTGTCCGGTGGGTGTGAGAGTGTCCGGTGAGTGTGAGAGTGTCCGGTGAGTGTGAGAGTATCCGGTGAGTGTGAGAGTGTCCGGTGAGTGTGAGGGTGTCCGGTGAGTGTGAGAGTGTCCGGTGTGTGTGAGAGTGTCCGGTGGGTGTGAGAGTGTCCGGTGAGTGTGAGAGTGTCCAGCGAGTGTCAGAGTGTCCGGTGAGTGTGAGGGTGTGTCCGGTGAGTGTGAGAGTGTCCGGTGAGTGTGAGGGTGTGTCCGGTGAGTGTGAGAGTGTCCGGTGAGTGTGAGAGTGTCCGGTGAGTGTGAGAGTGTCCGGTGAGTGTGAGAGTGTCCGGTGAGTGTGAGAGTGTCCGGTGTGTGTGAGAGTGTCCGGTGAGTGTGTCCGGTGAATGTGAGAGTGTCCGGTGAGTGTGAGATTGTCCGGTGAGTGTGAGAGTGTCCGGTGAGTGTGAGGGTGTCCTGTGGGTGTGAGAGTGTCCGGTGAGTGTGAGAGTGTCCGGTGTGTGTGAGAGTGTCCGGTGGGTGTGAGAGTATCCGGTGAGTGTGAGAGTGTCCGGTGTGTGTGAGAGTGTCCGGTGAGAGTGTCCGGTGGGTGTGAAAGTGTCCGGTGAGTGTGAGAGTGTCCGGTGAGTGTGAGAGTGTCCGGTGAGTGTGAGAGTGTCCGGTGAGTGTGAGAGTGTCCGGTGAGTGTGAGAGTATCCGGTGAGTGTGAGAGTGTCCGGTGTGTGTGAGAGTGTCCGGTGAGAGTGTCCGGTGGGTGTGAAAGTGTCCGGTGAGTGTGAGAGTGTCCGGTGAGTGTGAGAGTGTCTGGTGAGTGTGAGAGTATCCGGTGAGTGTGAGAGTGTCCGGTGTGTGTGAGAGTGTCCGGTGAGTGTGAGAGTGTGCGGTGAGTGTGAGAGTGTCCGGTGAGTGTGAGAGTGTCCGGTGAGTGTGAGAGTGTCCGGTGAGTGTGAGAGTGTCCGGTGAGTGTGAGAGTGTCCAGTGAGTGTGAGAGTGTCCGGTGAGAGTGAGAGTGTCCGGTGAGTGTGAGGGTGCCCGGTGAGTGTGAGAGTGTCCGGTGAGTGTGAGAGTGTGCGGTGAGTGTGAGAGTGTCCGGTGAGTGTGAGAGTGTCCGGTGTGTGTGAGAGTGTCTGGTGAGTGTGAGAGTGTCCGGGGTGTGTGAGAGTGTCCAGTGAGTGTGAGAGTGTCCGGTGAGTGTGAGAGTGTCCGGTGAGTGTGAGAGTGTCCGGTGAGTGTGAGAGTATCCGGTGAGTGTGAGAGTGTCCGATGTGTGTGAGAGTGTCCTGTGAGAGTGTCCGGTGAGTGTGAGAGTGTCCGGTGAGTGTGAGAGTGGCCGGTGAGTGTGAGAGTGTCCGGTGAGTGTGAGAGTGTCCGGTGTGTGTGAGAGTGTCCTGTGAGAGTGTCCGGTGGGTGTGAGAGTGTCCGGTGAGTGTGAGAGTGTCCGGTGTGTGTGAGAGTGTCCGGCGAGAGTGTCCGGTGGGTGTGAGAGTGTCCGGTGAGTGTGAGAGTGTCCGGTGAGTGTGAGAGTATCCGGTGAGTGTGAGAGTGTCCGGTGAGTGTGAGGGTGTCCGGTGAGTGTGAGAGTGTCCGGTGTGTGTGAGAGTGTCCGGTGGGTGTGAGAGTGTCCGGTGAGTGTGAGAGTGTCCAGCGAGTGTCAGAGTGTCCGGTGAGTGTGAGGGTGTGTCCGGTGAGTGTGAGAGTGTCCAGTGAGTGTGAGGGTGTGTCCGGTGAGTGTGAGAGTGTCCGGTGAGTGTGAGAGTGTCCGGTGAGTGTGAGAGTGTCCGGTGAGTGTGAGAGTGTCCGGTGAGTGTGAGAGTGTCCGGTGTGTGTGAGAGTGTCCGGTGAGTGTGAGTGTGTCCGGTGAATGTGAGAGTGTCCGGTGAGTGTGAGATTGTCCGGTGAGTGTGAGAGTGTCCGGTGAGTGTGAGGGTGTCCGGTGGGTGTGAGAGTGTCCGGTGAGTGTGAGAGTGTCCGGTGTGTGTGAGAGTGTCCGGTGGGTGTGAGAGTATCCGGTGAGTGTGAGAGTATCCGGTGAGTGTGAGAGTGTC